CTATCATGTTCAGCCTTCATTTGGGTTATAGTAATACCTCTTGGTTATATTGTCCTTCATCAAGCCCTACACCCTCCTCGCCATTGATTTTCGGTCACTTATTCCCTTGTCCCTGAGTTTGCTAACACCCACTCCCTTTCCCCCAGCTCCCCCTCTCCCGTTTAGTTGTTCTCCTTTCCGGCTTGTTTATCCTGCCTATCACATCCAGATAGACATGCAGTGACAATATGCACAAACGCAAGACGGAGTACAGCAAAGCAGCAATAGAAAATAAAACAGTAGCTACAACAAAAAGGCAATGGCAAAAAAAAAGTCTATAAATAGTTCAAGGTCGATTTGTTGTCCTTTACGAGTGTTTTCCAGTCGAATCTGATGGGGCGCCATGCCCTGGCCCCACAGTCTATTTTTGGTGTTCCCTGGGGACTTCATTGCTCTGTTCCTCTTGCTGCGCTTTTGCACGCCCCAAGCATCTCGCCTTGGTGTGGTGGGGTCCGGCAAGCACAGTTCCTGCCCTGTGTCTCCAGTGTTGCTCCCGTGGTGCTATGGGTCCCTTGTGTCTTGTGGTCTGGCCGCTCTGAGCAGAAATAATGTCCTCAGGCCTTGGTGGGCCAGCCCTCGTTTGCTCCTGTGGGCTCTCATCAGACACCTCCCTCTCCTTGAGCTGTATAAACTAAATTTTTCAGCATATTTTTAAGCAGTTTTTGTGGTAAATTAGGAGCCTCTGCTGATATTTTGGTCGACTTCTACTGAGTATATATGTTACATATGCAAAGTGCCTTGTCTTCATTTATTTGTTTTTTCCTCTTCTTTTTGGCAACAAAGTAAAATACCTGGCTAAATCTGTAAGAAATTTCTGAAAGTTTAGTATCTTTTTTAAAAGGGCAAAGAATAAACCTTATGGAAACATTTTGTGTTTGTTTTCCCTGTCAGACAATACTTAGGTTGGATGATTTATTAGTTATATCAATCCTCAAAAAACATTGTAGTTATATTTAATGTGATGTCCTTTAGTGAAACAAAGAAATATAATTGTATGTATATACATATATGTCTTAGAGAGCTTTATGTCTGACCACATTCCCATAATTTAATTGAGCTCATGTTTAATACCGCGCCCCCCCCCCCCCCACACACACACACGCACACAACCACTGGAGGTTCCAGGAATTTTGGAGAAAAGAATATTCTTCTAGATAAGTCTTTGGGTAACTAACAGACAAAGTCACTGCCCAAGTGCTAAATACACAATAAATATGTAGCCTTGTAGTTCTGAGTGCCCACCTTTGTCATCCCTATAGGAGGCAGCCTTTTGTGCTGTGATTCTTGCCCTGCTGCTTTTCATCGTGAGTGCCTGAACATTGATATCCCGGAAGGAAACTGGTATTGCAATGACTGTAAGGCTGGCAAAAAGCCTCACTACAGGGAGATCGTCTGGGTGAAAGTTGGACGATACAGGTGAGCAACCTTGACGAGGATGCCGCTCGTTCCCTTTACTACTCCCTTTACTGCCTTTTCATGGCAGTCCTTAAATACAGAGCTGAGCTGGATTTTTCAGTGCTCTCTCTTACTAGGTAAGGTCTTCGCCTTCGCACCTCCCTCTCAATTTTTCTTTATGAAAGAAAAAACTAACTTTTTTGTTAGTCATTATGGAATTATACATATTCACTCTAAAAATAGTTTTTTAATCTACAGCAGTAAACCTAATTTAAGGAGAAGATAACATTTGTTGATATTTTGCTATGTTTATTTGAAGATATACACATTACAATACACAGAAACCTCCAAAATAATTGAACTCATATTTCATACCCAGTTTTTTTTCTGGTCTTTTAAATTTTTATTTTCATTGGTTTTCACAAAAGAATATAACATGCCGAATTTCAGCCAAGGGAACCCCAGTGTCATAGTGGCTACATGTTGGGCTTCAATCCTCAAGCTCCAACAGTTCGAAACTGCCAGCCACACCATAGGATGAAGGCAGGGCTTTCTACTCCTATAAAAGTTGCAGTCTCAGAAACCCACAAGGGCAGCTATGCCCCCGTATGTCTCCAAAGCCGTATCATCAGTGAGTTTGGTTTTGGAATAGGTACTGAATGTTTTCCTTTTAAAAGAAATTTTAAATTATTTTAATACCAAAAAGTTTGGGGTAAAATAGAATTAAAAGACGAAAGTAGAATTTTTTCCACAGACATTTTGAACTCCCTGTATACAATCTAGTTAATGTGTTACCCTAAGTAATTAATTAAGAAGGAGTATGTACAGGTATGTGTGATGTTTCCAGACTTGTTCAGAATTTTCTACTTACTTGTTCGTTTGTTACCACTTAGATTGTAAGAGTGGCCTGCCTTTAGTATTGATAAACATTGCTATTTATTCCTCTTCTGTAGATATTATTTTCCTGGTATCCAACAGCCTTCTAGAGATTTTCTCCCTGTTTTTGCCTTTCCTAGGTGGTGGCCCGCTGAGATCTGCCATCCCCGTGCTGTACCTTCTAACATCGATAAGATGAAACATGATGTGGGCGAGTTCCCTGTACTCTTCTTTGGATCTAATGACTATCTGTGGACCCACCAAGCTAGAGTCTTTCCCTACATGGAAGGAGATGTTAGCAGCAAGGATAAGATGGGCAAAGGAGTGGATGGGACATATAAAAAAGGTAACATCATAGCTTTTCTTTCTCAGGTTGATGCAGAGTTCTATGTCCTGAGTGTCTGTTTACCATGTGTTAGCATCTACATTTATTCCATTTATCACCTGGCTTCTGAGCTCTAGGACAGTAGGTGAGTATGGCTACATGATTTTACGAGGAAGTTGACTCACTTACCCAATCCCAACACCAACTGACTTTGCAAGGCACAGAGTGTAGAGCTGGGCCATACGGTTCCCAAGAATACAAATACTTGGAGAAGCAGGGTGCCTCGTCTTTCTGCCCAGATCAGCTGTGTTTGTACTGCTGCCTTTCCGGTCAGCAGCCTAACGTTTAATGCTCTGTACCACCAGGGTTTGTTTTTTTTTTTTGCTCAACCTTTATTTTACTAGAATTCTTTTTTTTACTATTAGCTATGTATTTACTACCATAAAATAAAACTGTTTCTTTTAATTTTTGCACGACATCGGCATTTTCAATGACATAAAAATAATATAAAATGGTGAAATAAATAGAATTCTTAGAGGAAGGGTGTCAGGTTTGTTTTATCAGTACCTTGTCCAGTGCTGGGGTTCTGGGACTAATAGTATAGCTGACACTTCAATATGTTAGGCAAGGACTAGAATCTTACGCAGAGCCATATTTCTGAAAGGAGTTCTTTTTATCAGCTTCTTGGGAAGAAATCAAATTTACCAAAATTATTGAGCCAAAGTCAGGTAATATCAAAGCATGAAAGTAAGCCAAGGATACATAGCTAGTATACTTGTAATTATAGAGTACTGGTCATCCAATACAAAGATCTTGTTAGATGAATATGTCGGTATTGAAGGCTAGGTAGTAGGGTTAGGTGAAAGAAAGCAAGTGAAACTTCCTAGGTTTGGAATGGGAGTGATGCTTATAGGGAACCAGTTTACTTACAATTCCAATTATCTCATGGTATTTCGTCGGGCTTGCTTAACCTGTAGGCTCTTTGATTTCTTTGCACAGATCGGGGCAGCTGCCACTGGTGCTTACTAGAGGAATTTGGGTCTTAGGTCTTGTAGTTTCAGATGATCTGGGACCAAATAATCAACATGCTGGCCTCTCCCAACACTGAGGCGTGAATTTTAGTACAGGGAATACTGCAAACCACAGTCTCCTGAAGTCCAAATTTTCTTCCTTCAAGGAACCCCAGTGTTTTATGAAGAAATCTGACCTGGATAGCAGTCAACAGCATTTACTAATTGTTATGACAAATGTGTGCATGGTATGTTTTTTGAAGCAGTCTAAGAAAAAGCAGAACTAGGCATCAGTTAAGGTTTGGTGGTTATAGTTTCTTAAGCTACACTTATAGTATGAATCATAAAAATAGTATTACCGTGCCCTGTTGACAATTCACCTTCTCCTTTTATACCTCTGGGTACACTCTGAACTATACATCTAATTATCCTCATTTTACTGCTGAAGGAACCAAGGCATAGATCAGTTCAATTACTTGTCCAAGGTCCAGTGGCAGCAAATGATAGAGAAGGATTCAAATTCTGGTAGTTGCCTCTAGACCCCATGCTCTTAAACCCTACACTGACTGAATAGGGAAGGTACTTAAATGTTGTTCAAGAGCACGTAAAAGCATGCTTTGAATCCAATAAAACAAATTGCAAAGTCTGAAGGATTTCAAACAGTTTGGGGGAACACTATTTGCCTGAAAAGGGAGGTGGAAGTTCAAGTTGTCTGAAGTTATGTACTATGCTAAGTATGAAGTTTGTGTTTTTAAGTAGGTACATCAAGTGGTCCAATCTGAGGCTTAGAAATTGCATTTTGGATTAGTGTGTCAGGATGATTGGAATGCATGAGGCTGCTGCAAGGAAGATCACTGAGCTGTTACAGGGGTCCCTTATAGAGATGAGATGACAAGGCTGTGACAGGGAATTGTCCAGGGGAATGGAGAGAAGGGCTTACACTGAATAGACATTAAGCAGACTTGGCAGGACCTGTTGAATAATTGGATGTGGGAATGAGGGATTTTTAGGACAATTTAGAAGACTGTGCACCACAGTCTCTGCTAGCTAAATGATGTCAGGAAAATGGAGATGAAGGAATGAACCAGAGAAAAGATGTTATTTTAAAATTTATAATAGCATGGGACAAGACCACAGAGAGGAAAAAGAAAGAATTGCCCCCCTCTTTTAATGTGTTTTTAACCCCATGAGGAGCGATATATTTAGCATATTTTATAAGTGAATAGAATTGAAATTCTTAAAAGTTTTGTTCAACTATTCAATATATTGCAATCTTTTAAGCCCTTAAGAAGATAGTGTTTTAAGGGATCAGGTATAAGGCATCATCAGAACAAAAAATCTTACCATAGTGAATGATGGGGGGAGTGCGGAGTGGAGACCCAAAGTCCATTAGTAGGCCACAGGAGAACCCCTTGCAGAGGGGTCTCGGGGAGGAGATGAGCCAGTCAGGGGGCAATGGAGCAATGATGAAAAATACAACTTTCCTCAAGTTCCTAAATGTTTCCTCCCCGCTCCCACTATCATGACACAAATTCTACCTTGCAAGTCTGGCTGGACCAGAGAATGTACACTGGTACAGATAGGAACTGGCAACACACGGAATCCAGGGCGGATGAGCCCTACTACAGGACCAGTGGTGTGAGTGGCGATACTGGGAGGGTAGAGGGAGAGTGGGTAGGAAATAGGGAACCGATTACAAGGAACTATATGTGACCTCCTCCCTGGGGGACGGACAACCAAAAAGTGGGTGAAGGGAGACGTCGGACAGGGCAAGATTTGACAAAATAACAATTTATAAATTATCAAGGGCTCATGAGGGAGGGGGGAGTGGGGAGGGAGGGGGAAAATGAGCACCTAATGCCAGGGGCTTAAGTGGAGAGGAAATGTTTTGAGAATGATGAGGGCAATGAATGTACAAATGTGCTTTACACAATTGATGTATGTATGGATTGTGATAAGAGTTGTATGAGCCCCTAATAAAATGATTTTAAAAAAAAAGAAGTGTTTGGACGTCAGTTTGATAAGAATACCTGTGTATCTGAGCTAGTTAATAGAGAAAGCGTCTCAGAGGAAAATATGATAGGCATTCCAAAGAATAAGTGAACAGGAAGAGGTACACCTTAGCGCTGGGTTTTTCCCCAGAATGAGCATGTTACTCAGAGCACCTAGGAAAGTGAATCTGTCTGGAAGCCAGAACTGTAATCTTTCAAAAGGGATCCTCAGTGATGCAGTGGTCAACTGTATGGCTGCTAACCAAAAGGTTGGCAGTTCAAACCCACTCCACAGAAAGAACTGCGATCTACTTTTTCTTTTTTTAATAAATCATTTTATTGAGGTCTCTTACAGCTCTTATAACAATCCGTACATTAATTGTATCAAGCACATTTGCATATATGCTGCCGTCCTTGGTATCATCTCCTTTTTTCCCCCTACTTCCAGCCTCACGTACCCCTGATCAGTGATATATTATTATTTTCATATCTTATACCACCCACTTTTTCCCTTCGCCCACGTTCCTGTTCTTTCAAGGTGGCGTGGGGAGTTATATGTCAATCATTGTAGTATAAGCCGAGTTTTTCAGTACACTCTTTAATGTAGTTTTTGTGGTAAAATCAGGTGCCTCGGTTGATATTCGGGTCGACTTATACTCTAGTATATACAGTACTTGAAATAGTTGTTATATACACTTCTTAGTTTTACATATATGTGTTAACTTTTTCTTAAAATGTCAGTTTCCCCAACTCAAAAAGAGGAAGAAGAAGTGCAGTAAACATTGCACCCACAAGTTTTTTAAATGATTTCTGCTGTTTGTTTTCTTAGCTCTTCAGGAAGCTGCAGCAAGATTTGAGGAATTAAAGGCCCAAAAGGAGCTAAGGCAGCTGCAGGAAGACCGTAAGAACGACAAGAAGCCACCGCCTTACAAACATATAAAGGTGAGAAAAGGTTTCAGGAAGCCCCGTATCTAGGAGAGACACTGTATGCTTTGCCCTCCTACCATTTTTTTTCCTTTCAAATCCAAGTGACTTATATGAAGAAAAGGGAAGTTTTGGGTATTCACAGAAAAATCCCAGGGGCTAAGAGCAGGAAATCCAAAAGAGCACCCTGAGAGGAAGCTCGGTCCCAGGGCCCGGGCCGCGTTTGTGTGCCGCTGCCCTCCGACCTGCAAGAGTGCACCCGAACAAGAGAGGATCAAAGAAGCTTGGCCTCCCTGTGGTAGGCTCTTATCTCCTCAAGCTGGGGTGGCCCAGTTAAAGGTATTGGCTGAGTTTGACCTCATTGGATGAGTTTTAAGCACACCTGTCATGTGGCTGGTACTAGTCTGTGACCCAAGTAGATCTCCCACCTGTGCCTAGAGGCTTGTTTCTGAGCATGCTTAGTTTTGATCTTTCCACAGGTGTCTAATTAACGTGTGCCTTTTCAATGCCTTTGTTGGGGCCTTATGCAGGCATTCGGGAGACAATCCCCCTCATTGTCTATTCTGGCTACCTAACATTCCCCACTGGAGGAGTATTGACCCAGATCTTTGGGATACTCATGGCATATTGCTGTAGATGGGTGTGCTATGCTTTGGCCAGGATTCCCGGCACCTAGAATGTACCGGGGCCTGATGGAGTTGCAGGAGAACAGTAGTTTGCATCTCACTAGTGTCTGCAGGTCAAATCTAGACCAATAGATAGGATACAGTACAAAATCCAGGCATTAGTACCAACAGCTATGAGTGGCATCTTCAGGACCTTCGAAGGGGATCATAACTGGCTACGGGTGACCTGCCCTCTTACCAGTCTTAAATAATGAAACATGGATATATGTACAGATGCTTTTAGGCAGAGAGATGAGTTTAAAAGGAGATCAGAAAAACTTACTATGGTAGAAAAAAGAAAAACTTACTATGGTACCATTCCTAACACTATCCTTTGATAGTTTTTGTCTACTCCCCTGGGATGTCTTCACAAACAAATGTATTACATTTTGTTCATTTATAAGAATCATGAAGAACAATCATAAATGACCTTGAGTTTGGTAATGGTAATGACTTAACACTGAAGATATAATAAGTAGGTGATATGGCTAAGGTCAGAGAATTATGTAAGATGTGAAAGTTTTACTTCCTCTTCATCTACCTGGTAAAAGAGTCATGTCCATTTCCCATTTCATATTTTTTATTGGCTTTTAAAGGAATGACTTACCAAAATAAAAATATAGGAATGGTAAAGAACATCTTTAATAGAAATATTAATTTTAAAACTTTTTACAAGCCTCTTCTAATTAAATGTTGGTACTGAAACATAAAATATAAAAGAATGCTATAAGCAAAGTAAGGTGGCTTCGGTTCCTGTTACAAAATATATGATAACATCTTTCCTGGATGAGAACACTGTATTTTCTTTGTTTGCAATACATTATTTATTCACTTATTGATTTTTAGTTCCAGAAAACTCAATTAGATATGGTCATCTGAAATGTCACATGGAAATCATTTCACTACTATTGATATCAGAGCATTTCCCAAATATTGCATGTAATGTACTTAATAAAAGATGATCTGAAATGCATTTTTAACTTGCTGTTCTAGATTTGCATTTGCTAAATATGATAGCTGCTAAAAGAATAGAGTGTTATCTCCTCTCTTATACCTTTTTGATAGAGGATGCAGTACTTGGAACAGCACATAAGATAACAAAGTACCACTTCTCAACTCACTGCCACCTGCTTATATGTGATTATAGCATTCTTCCAGCTTATTTTGAGATTGTTTAACAGAGTTTAGAGTAATCGTAATTGATTAAATAGTAAAATGTGTGAGACATAAGCTGTTTTGCCACCTCTGACTGTAGAGTGACAGTTTATCCATACTGACATATCTCTCTGTTGTTGGTCTTATTTAAATGTTTTTGCATCATGAGTTTTTGACAAAAACTAGACACTAAAATCCCACAAAATACCTTAGGTTTATTACAACATCTAGTCCACCTATGATAATTGTAAGAAAATTAATTTAATTTATACTTCTTTTATAACTAAAGTTTCTTGCTCTTTGGCAGATTCTGAAATAAATAAAGCTCATGAAACATCACTCCTAATAGGTAAAACTGCTGCAAAAAAATCTCAAAACTAAAATTTGAGTCTCATGTATTCTCCTGTCGAGACATAACAATGGAGTGTTGCTATTCTTGAAAAGAAAAGTCTTCTGTTTTCATAGTGCTCTAGCTGCCTTCAGAGTAGCACAGCAAACAGAAGCACTAAAGCAGGCCAGTTAACTGCGATGTCCCTTGAAACCATGAACTTAGACATCCTATCCAAGGAACCAAATCCCAAGAGGTGTGTGTTAGTATAGAAACGATCCTTACAGCTATTTTTTGGTCATTAAAAATAAGTATGTGTGTGCTATCTACTTTTGCCAATTCAACTTTTTATAGGTACACTATAGCTTATTGGCATCAGTTGTAATAATGAAACCTATTCTTAGATTTTTGTATCACTGTTAGCACTGTCTCACGTAACCATGAGTAAACCCTCATCTCTGTACATTTACTTTTTATTGTCTTTCTCTAAAGTATATGATTCGTAGTTTTGCCATCCTCAATCTAAGAGTATTTTGACTGTACGTATTTCCAGACAGATTTATTTCTGCTTCTGGTAGTCCACGGCATATACAGTATATCACCACCATAATGTGAACACAGTGTTTTCCAATTCACTGCCCAGCTTTCACATGCAAACGATTGCAAGTGTCATGGCTTGGATCAGGCACACCTCAGTCTTCGAGGTGACAAACTTTCCCTTTTACTTCATGAAAGAGATTTTTTGCAATAGATTTTCCCAGTTATTTCTTGACTGCTGCTTTCATAGTCATTGATTTATGATTCAAAGAAAATGATATCCTTATCTTCAATCGTAATAATGCTGTTTGTTGATCCAGTTTTAAGAATTTTTGTTCTATTTACGTTAAAGTCTAATCCATTCCAAAGTCTTTGATCCTTATCAGTAAATGCTTCAATTTGGTTAAGTGAGGAATAAGTTAGTTGTATGGTTTCTTAATATATTCTCCCAGTTGGTGGCTTATTTCACTCATGTTTTTCATGTACATTATTTTCTAATAAGAGTTCCATTTATTTATCTACTGTCCTTGACTGCCTATGCTTTCATTATATTACATAATCCACTGTAAGCCAAGCTGCATTGCCCTGCTTGTTCTTTTAAGTAGTTTGCAGTTTTAATTTAGACATTTAATTTTGAAATTTTTTCATGTATGGTATAAGGCCATACAGTTATCCTGTTTTCCTTTCTGCATGTGGAAATCCTTTTTTTTAATTTTCACTTAAAAATCTTTTATGCTTATTTCCAGTTAAGAATGCAGGGTAGAAATTTTCATATAACAGCTAAAGGTGTGCTACTGTGTGACAATAGCAGGAACCCTGTGTACAACTAACTTGGCCAATTAGCCTTGAAATTTTCATTTTTAAATGAATTCTTAAAAGTTTGAGGCATCTGTATTTTGTATATCAAATTAAATCTTTAGCAGTTTGTTTTTAACTACCAGAATTCTTGATTGCCAAAATCATATCAGATGTAGCATGAAACTTCAAGGAGAAGAGACCGGTTTTCCTGAAAGGTCTTTTGTTGACTTGGCCTGGTGTACTCTGTGCTTCCCCACCAGGTGAATCGTCCTATTGGCAGGGTCCAGATCTTCACTGCAGACTTGTCTGAAATTCCCCGCTGCAACTGTAAAGCTACTGATGAGAACCCCTGTGGGATCGACTCCGAGTGCATCAACCGCATGCTGCTTTACGAGTGCCATCCCACAGTATGTCCTGCGGGAGGGCGCTGCCAAAACCAGTGCTTCACCAAGCGCCAGTACCCAGAGGTTGAAATCTTCCGCACTTTGCAGAGAGGTTGGGGCCTCCGCACCAAAATTGACATTAAGAAGGTGAGGAAAATTTTTCAGCTTGACTAGGGTTGGTTTTTTTGGGCACTTGTTAATATAATTAATTCTTCTTAATGAGTGTGAGAAAATTCATCAGAGAAGAAAATTACGATTTAAGGATTAATATTATTATCTGACCATGTTTTCCTGTATTTAGAAGCTTGAGAGTACTTGGTCTCCTTTGTCGCTAAAGTTACATGTACTTTATATGCGCAGTTAGTTATATGTAAGAAAGTAAGTCAAAAAGTATTGGTCGTAGGGTTCTAGTTCAGACATATGCACCCATATGTTTAAACCTATCTCTTCAATCAGTGGATAGCTGTAGACAAGTTCTCTCAAATATTTGTCCTAGTCTCATTCCTTTAAAAACATAAACAAGTTGAAGTTAAAGCTATTAGCAAAATTTAACACAGCTCAAGTTAATACCTTTCCAAATCATTGGAGTTTTGCAGCATGTTTGCAGCAAGGAATTCTGCTCCATGTCCAGCAACCGTTTTTAGACTGGTTAAGCATTAAAGATCTCAAAGATGAACAAGGCAGAAAAGTCAGCTCAACGGGGTCTACCAAAACCAAACAAACTACCTTCAAGTCAGTGCTGGCTCACAGCCACTGTTTACAGGAGTAGAAAGCCCCGTCTGTCTCCTGTGGAGCTGTTGGTGATTTCGAACTGCCAACCATGCAAATTTCAGCCCAGCTTGTAACCACTACACCACCCGGACTCCTCAAATGATTGTAGTGACTGGCGTTTGGGGATTCCAAAGGAGTAATCTTGATATTGTCTCAAAGGACAGAGGATGATTACAAGGACTAAATAAGTGAAAATTATACTATATTTGTGAAAGGGCAGGAAAGTCATGTCAAGGATTTCTTTTCCAACAACAATGCAATTACTCATTCTTTAAAGGTGTTTCCTGTGAGAATTTTGTTAGGAACTTTACTTACTCCATCCACCCTACAACCCTGATCTTGCTCCTTCAGACTTTGTTCGCAGAATTCAAACGCCTATTTCAAAGGAACACTATTTGAGACTCTCAGATGTCCAACTGCCATTTTGATTTGGTATAGATAAGAATACAGCATTCTCAGTGTAAGCGTTAGAGATGGAAACAGGAATTTCAGAAGTATGTAGATGTAAGATAAGCTGAGAAATAATAACTTCATTTGAATTTTGTTTAATAAAGCTTTTAGTGGTTTGTAGCAATGTTCTTTTTGTATACTGTTTTATTGATCATATTTATTCTGTATCGGACTGAAAATGGGGAATTCATAGAGATGCTTTGCCTTGTTTACTTTGTGAAAATCTTGGAGCCAGTAGAATAAAGAGCGCACGATACAGAAGTGTTCATCACCTTTTAATAAAGTGAAATATTACTTGAAATGCAAAGATTACATTGGGATTTCTGGAACATGAATGGAAAGAGCATTAGGTTTTCTCTAGTTAAAGTATGGTTTTAATGTTCATCATGAAATATGGAAGGACCTCTTGAATTACTAATAAATTGACAACACTTTATACTGTTGTGTAAAACAAGTCTTATTTGACATTCTATTAAAATAAGCCTTACTACTATTATTCTTTTTAAAGAGTCTGATTACATTTGTTTTTAGGAAATCAGTGAAAATGGCTCAGACTTATTTGCTCTAAGTAGTGGTGTTATAGTCACCATGAGCTAGGCATGGTGCAGCACGTTGACACAATTGCTTGACTGCTGCGTCTGTGAGTATTGACCTCGATGGAGTATTGAAAAGCAAGGATGTTACTTTCAGGGTTGAGGTCCACCTCACCCAAGCCATGGTATCTTCATTTGCCTCATCTACATCTGAAACTTGGACCAGTAAAGAATCAGTGTGTTTGCATTGTGGTGCTGGCCTGGTGAGGAATATTGAAAGTATTCAAGGAAACCAGCTTTCAACTCCCTGGTTTGTGATGGGATCAACTGTCCGTTTGTTTCTCTGTTAATTATTTATTTATTGGTTTGCTAGTTGATCCTCCCTTCTAAAAGATCTTCAGTGTCTCCTATAACCTAATCTTTTTGCTGGTACAAATGGGAACGTGGGTTTCATTGTCAGATAATCAAGGTATATTTAATGTTTCTCTAACAGACTAATTACTTACATATGCTTTGACCACATTAATTTATTAATTTAAATCTAAAAAGTACAAAGAAACACAGTTGTCCTTTATGCTGTTAAGTCCGGAATTGTTTTTTGCTGTAGGGTGAATTTGTGAATGAGTATGTGGGTGAGCTCATAGACGAAGAAGAGTGCAGAGCTCGAATTCGCTATGCCCAAGAACATGACATCACTAATTTCTATATGCTCACCCTAGACAAGGTACGTTATGGAACATGTGCCAGTTCTGTGGGTTTTCTGGTGACTTTTGTTTGTGCCTGGGGTTATATTTGGTACTTGTTCATCATTTCCGCACCCAAGTGTGTTTTGTGGTTATTTTCTGTTTGTTTGTTTCTCTATCTGAAATTATTCTTTTCTCATGAATATTCTGTACCTCTATCTTCCCTGCCCCCTCCCACATTACAGAACCCATTTATAGTATATAACAGCATTTATCACCTTTACCCTTACAATCGGTGAGGTCCCTCATCTCTAGGTATTCTGAAACACTTGGAACTTAAGTGATTTCCATTGTGGAGCCAAGGCTGAGAGCTACCTAATTAGAAAATGGGACAAGCTAGTGCTTCTAGAGCAGTGGTTCTCAAACATTAGCATGCAATTGAATCACCAGATGGGCTTGTTAGAACACACCTCACTGAGTCTTGCTCAAGAGTATATCTGAAATGAAACCTACAAATGGACATTTCTGACAAGTTCCCGATGGTAATGTTGATGCAGGGACCACACTTGGGTAAGTAGTTCTCTGGGAGAGCCACAGTTAACAAAGAGGGGCTTGGCTTATTGTATAGTGTTAATTTTAATCAACCACAGCAAAGATCTCAGAAAGTCTGATGAGTAGCTTCTCTTGCAATTCTAGGACCGGATCATTGATGCTGGTCCCAAAGGAAACTATGCTCGGTTCATGAATCACTGCTGCCAACCCAACTGTGAAACACAGAAGTGGTCTGTGAATGGAGATACCCGTGTTGGCCTTTTTGCCCTAAGTGACATCAAAGCAGGTAAGAACCCATGAAGGATGTTGTGTGAAATCTGGAGCTAGATAAACTGAACTTCAGAGTTTGTCATCTAAAAATTCCATTACTCCTATAATCCAAAGTAAACTTTTAAAGGTTTATAAAGATTTGCTGTGTGGTAAGTTGAGCATGGATGGTTTTAAAGACATGTATCTCGATATCTTTCACATTTATATGAATTTTCCGAAAATTAGCCTTTAGAAGTATGGGGCCCAGTGATCCAAGCTACTTGTAATCTGTATGAAAATTTCACAACTGTGGAATGAGCTCTGGCTCATGGGGCTGTGTTGGGCTGCTACCCACAAGGTCAGCAGTTTAAAACCACCAGCCACTCCTCAGGAGGAAGACAAGGCTTTGACTCCTGTAAATCATCTCAGAAACACAGGGGCAGTTCTGTCCTGTCCTAGCATCACTGTAAAGTGGGAATCGACTCAAAAGCAAACGTGGTTTGGGTTTTTAAAAAGCACCTACTCACCAGCTCTCCTTTTCTCACCTTCCCTTCTATAGTTGCCTTTTCCCCACCTTGCAAACTCTCACTCGTGCAAATCTTTTGGACCTTGACTGCTTATCCTGTAGGCACCAGGTGACCTGACACATGGCGAATGCGGAAGTTCTGTCAAGACCGTTTTGTGTTTCTAAGCATTAGAGTGCAGCAGCAAGGTGGTCTGTAACCAGGACATGTATTAAAATGGTCATTTGAATTGAAAGTCTGCTATGGTTAATTGGTTTGACAGCAAAGTTATTTTCATGTATTGGAAGAACTGATTAAATACATAATTTCAATATGTGGATGAATATTTTAGGCATCTATATATACTAAGATGACCAGATTTTAACATTGTAAAGCGGGTCACCATTGTTAAAACTCATATCCTGGCGAAATAGCCACATGGCAGCCGAAAACCATATACCCTAGCTTGTCGTGCATTCTTTCCAAAAATCGGGACTTTTTAAAAACGCCACGGGGTGCTTGCTTCGGCAGCACATATACTAAAATTGGAACGATACAGAGAAGATTAGCATGGCCCCTGCGGCAAGGATGACACGGAAATTCGTGAAGCGTTCCATCTCTTCTTAAAAATAAATAAATAAATAGGTAGATAAAATAACGCCACGGGACGCAGGAAAAATTGTTCAAAAGCGAGATGTCTGGTCACCTTAATCTATACATATTTAAGTTTCTAAAGTGCTAATTTTGAAATGCACAAAGAAGGACATAGTCTTTTTTTTTTTATCTTGAAAAAGTTTATATTTAGCATTAGCCAGCTGGGCTCACTTTAGATGATTCCAATTTTGTTGGCAACATCTAAAGCGTCATAGTCAGGAGCCAGTCGAACACATGCCTTCTTCTCACCGTCAGGCCTGATCAAGGTGTTGACTTTGGCTACGTCAATGTCATAGAGCTTTTTCACAGCCTGCTTGATCTGGTGTTTGTTGGCTTTGACATCCACAGTGAACACAAGTGTGTTGTTATCTTCCATCTTCTTCATGGCAGACTCTGTGGTCAGGGGAACTTGATGATGGCATAATGGTCCAGCTTGTTTCTCCTGGGGGCGCTCTTCCGGGGGTATTTGGGCTGCCTTCTCAGTCTCAGGGTCTTGGGCCGCCGGAAGGTGGGTGACGTGCGGATCTTCTTTTTTTTGTGGCTGTGGACGCCTTTCAGCACGGCCTTCTTGGCTTTTAAAGCCTTTGCTTTGGCTTCCGTTTTGGGAGGGGAGGAGCTTCCTTCTTCGCCTTCAGCGCCATCTTCGTGAAAGGACATAGTCTTTTCAAGTGAATTTTTGAATGCTAGCAAGTTTTCCTCCACACTTTTTGTGAATTAGTAAGAATTTACTTACCAGGCTATTGTTTTTCATCTAATTAACTTAAATAACTTTTCAGCCCTCCCAAATGATTTTCCCTGTTTCACCTGCCTCCTCCTTTTCCCCAACACTCTTGTGGAACATTGTTTTTCCCTTCCCACAAGTGAACACCTATCTAACCCTCCCTTCTGGTTTCCCTCCCTTTTTCTTCCCACCCTTGCTAAGCAGGCAGTTTGTTTTGGTATGAAGCCCTTTTCTTGAATGATAATATTCACACATCGTAAAGAATGATTGTAACCCGTTTCCCCCAACAGGGTGATACTGTCCCCTGGGGCGCAGTGAAATGATCCAGGGATCAGCAGATCCCTACACTTTATCCTGGACGATAGGTTGTGGTATACGTTTTTAATTCCCAGGGAGACACAGTAATTTTTTTTTCTGATAAAGAGACACTTGGCCAAATACGTGTGGGAACATATGTTTTAATTGTTGGAGATGTTGATTTACATTTTGATTTTATTTTTGTTTTTCCCCCTCCTTTTTTGGATGTGCATTTATTGCTGTAAATTATGTGCACCCCAGCCCCAAGTACTGCTTTAGGTGTGTCCCCAAAGGTTTTAATGTATTATAATTTGTTCTCATTTGTTTCAAGGAATTTACAATTTTCATTCCTTATTCAGTTACCTAGTAATTTTTTAATAGGTTGTTATTCCATTTCCATGTATTTGATTTTTCCCCCCTGGAATTTCCTGTTGTTGGTATCAATTTCCTATTGTTGTGATCTGAAAAGATGATTTGTAATATCTTCATGTTTTTAAATTAATTAAAATTTGCTTCATGGGTTAATGTGATTTATTCCCGAGAATTTTCAAGAATGCACTGGGGAAGAATGCATATTGTCATTGGGTTTTTTTATGTCTACAAGTTTAAGTTGATTTTACATGCATTATTTAGTTCTCGTGTCTTGGTTTAGTTTTCTTTTTAGTTGTTTTATCCTTCCTTAAAGTTTTTTTTGTTTAATGTATTTTGAAAGTCTTTCATTATGTGCATGAGTATTATAGTTATGTCTTGTTCGATTATATTATTTTATAGTATCTTTGTCACTTTGTGTGTGAGTTAGCTCTGAAGTGTATTTTATCAGAGAATAATATACACTCCTTTTTAAAATTGCTAGTAGTTTTATATTTTTCCAGCCTTTGATTTTTATTATATTTCTGTCTTCGTGTCTAAGGTGTGATTATTGTAAGCAGCATAAAGATGAGTCCTATTTTCTTAGCCATTCTGCTACTTTGTTTCTGTGACTGCTGCATTTTTCCAGTTTTGCTGCATGGGGGAGGGGGCTTTCCTTGTTCCTCATCTTCTGTGCTTAGTTCATTTTGCTTATGGGTTTTCTTGTCTTTTCTTTGCTATTATTTTACTTTTAACTGGGTCTTTGTGATTTTTCTTTCTTATTTTTATGAGATTTATATACAGTTTCCTTGAGGTTACTTTGTTATATATCTGTTCTCTTTTGAATCAGCTTGACTTCCTTTTTGGCCCAGTGTTTAGTATCTCTTCTTGTGGGTTCTTATGCCAGGCCCCATTTGCTGTAGAGGCAGGAATGGCATGTGCACATTTTGGAAGAAGACTGAAGTTCTCACCCCCTTGTTGTTGTTGGTTCCCGTAGGGTCAGCTCTGAAGGAGCAGTTTAGGCACTGTTTGGCCCTTGCGTGTTTGAATTTTTCTGTTGTTGGTGGTTGTTTGTTATACTAATATGTGGAATTCATTGAGTGTCTTCGCTCGAGGACTTTAGTAATCGCCCAGAAGGCTTTTCAGATTTTAACAATTTTGTGATCTTAATCATTGAGCTACTAATTTCTATTTCCTTTACATACATTGTGAGGGTATCAATATTTGACTTATCATTGCACTATACTGGCCTACGTGACTTTGGTTCTAAAAATTTAGTGTCTTACATGTGTACATCTCCTTTTAAACATTGCAGATTACTTCTGTGTACCATATGACATAGTTCCTCCAGCGATTTTTTTCTGAGATTGGCTTCATTATTTCTTCATTGTAGGAAGGGGCTACTTAGGCCTTTAGGGGAGGATAAATGTACTAACCAAGATTACCTGGGTAAGATTGTGGTGTAATTGGAATGTAAAGCCAACACTGACATCTATTCCAGAACTCTCTGTTCTTACTCTGGACTGTGTTCCCCCTCCCTTGGGTGTTGCCAAGGAAGACCTTAGCACAGACTGACAGGTTTCCTTAATCGTTGTACAGTAAGTTGTTGCTGGTTTTTAATTTTTTTAATTAATGTATTCCTAAAATAGCAATTAAACAACTCTGTAATTAAGTGAGTATTACAATTTCTACATTATTTTATGCAGGCACAGAACTTACCTTCAACTACAACCTGGAATGTCTTGGGAATGGAAAGACCGTTTGCAAATGTGGAGCCCCAAACTGCAGTGGCTTCCTGGGTGTAAGGCCTAAGGTACTATCTTCCCAAACTTCTATATTGGGAATACTGGTGTGTTCTTCATTGCTTCTAGGCAGGGTCTTTATCTGTAAGAGATGTCTCTTTGAAATAATGACATTGAATAAGTAGGGCCATTGACAGTGAACTCTTCTGGTGATTTACACAAGTGAAGAGCTCTGAGTATTGTGAAAATGTTTTTAGCAACTTGACACTTGTGACAGGTGGAGATACTCTTGGAGCTAAAAATGCTGCAAAGAGAAAACGGCAATCTTCAGTTATTGTGCTCCTTATTGGTCCGATCTGATCTCAGTCCTATCTCTTCATCAGCTATTTAGATACTTCTTATATCTGTCTCCATGGATATCTATCACTTCTCTCTTTTAAAAAGATACCAAAGAATCTGTAGTTGAATTTAATACAGATTCTGGGTGTAATAGAAAACTATGTACATATAGGGTCTGTGCTAGTCTGGGTACTTTAGAGAAACAAATCCACAGAAACTCATGTATAAGAGAGAGTTTTATATAAAGGTTAAGTACACATCAAGAAAACATCCCAACCCAGTGCTGCCCAAGCCCACCAGTCCAACATTAACCCATATGTCCGACACCAATCCACAAAGTCATCCTCCATCTCACAAAACTGATGCAATGATGCCAATTGCAGGAGGAAAGCCGAGTCAGTGAATGTGTAAACATCTCAGCGCTGGCAGGGTTCTCCACATGGCTGCTCCAGCACCCAGGGTTGCGTCGGGGTAGGTCCATGTGGCTTCTCCTTGGGGATGTCTTGCAGGAAGTCAGCATTGCTAGCTAAGCAGGGAACTGCTAAGGCAACTGCATCCTGGTCCGACCATCAGAAAGCAAGAGACTCGAGAACTAGAAAGGCGAGGCTTACTGAGTCACTTATCCCTCTGCCCTTCAATTAACAACACGTGTTTACCAGCCAGGTTGGCACAATAAACTAACTCAGAGTCTTAATCTCACCATTATATGAAAGTATAGATAATGCTGTATATAAATATTTGCAAGTCTGTATCCTGCTTTTCTTAAATATTAAAACAGTTCTTTCTTGCTTTTTAAAAAAATGATCACTTTTAGTTGACTGCTTGTTTTTCTACAAAATTTTTCAGGTTTCATTATCATAAGTAACTGAACCAAAAAAGCGAGGCTTAATCTTGTTACAGAGTATACTGTGTGTGGCTGGCTCCTACTTATTTCCCATTAAACTTTTCTGATTACAAATGTCAATATGAATAATAAAAAATGAAAATTAGCTTACTATCCAATAAGAAACCCAGAGTTACTCATTTTAAATAATACCACATGAATATACATTAATTACTCTTCCATTTTCTTAAATTAAAAAAAATCATCCTTAATTATATGAGTGGGCCTCAAAAAGTTCTTAGAAAACTGGAATTTAAAGATCATGGAATTTTTCCACAAACTGTTTGAAGCCCTCTTGTTTTGTGTCTTGTTGTCTTCTTGTCTGGCTAAAAGTTCTTGTTCTAGCTGGCCTGTGCTCTGCACATCCGAGTCACAGTTGAGATCACTGGTGTTCTCAGGCCTTTAGCTCTGCCTTGTGCTCCGGAGGCATGGAGCCATGTCACAGTAAGTCAGGGAGGTGATCACTGTGGGCTAAGAGCAGAAACATTGATCCCTTCACATCGCCCTTAGTTATGCCTTGGAGATTGATCTTGGATATTCACAGGCTAAGAAGAAGAATAGACTAACTGCCACAAGGTTGGGTGACCCAGAGTGGACTGCAGGGGACATTTGATGAAATCTATTGGCTACTCGAGGATCTGTCACGGGCGCGGGGTGGAGAGAGTGGGGGTTTTAATTTGACTTAGAAACAGACGCATAGCTTAGATGAGAGCAAGAACTATGCTCTCGCGCTCTCTTTTGTTAATAGGCTTCCCAGCAGTGACTCAAAAGGTTTTTTGAATAAATTAAGTAATGTGCACCACTTACATGCACCCACTAAAGAAAATTTTATTCGTTCTAGTGTTGAGGGAGCAGAATTAGTTGACATAAAAGTGGTAATTAGCACTACCAACTATTGCTGTTGTTATTATGCCTGCGTTTATCTTTTTGACAGTCTATTGAGAAGACTGTCTTTCAGAGACAGGCTGAGAGGGAGAGTTAACCCGACTGAGATGGTACAAATAATATGTCCACAAGAAGAGCAAAATGCTGACTACTCGTTATCTGCCTTCTAGAATCAGCCCATTGCCACAGAAGAAAAGTCCAAGAAATTTAAGAAGAAGCAACCAGGGAAGCGCAGGACCCAAGGCGAAGTCACAAAGGAGCGGGAGGATGAATGCTTCAGCTGTGGGGATGCCGGGCAGCTTGTCTCCTGTAAGAAGCCAGGCTGCCCCAAAGTCTACCATGCAGATTGTCTCAACCTAACCAAACGCCCAGCAGGTCGGTGTCAAATACATCTCTCTGAATCGCGGGGCCTGGTGCATTTACCTCAGTCTAGGGAAAAGTGCCCTTTGCTCTTACAGGGTCTCGGCAGTGGGGGGCGGATATGCTAAGAAAGGCTTGGATCCTAGAGGAAAGGGGACAGCAACTCAAAGCTGATTGTCGCTGTCATTTCATTCTCTCAGCAACCTCTTGACGCAGGTCTTCTCATGAGACTGAAGCGAAAACCAAGAGTTAAGACTAATGAGATAAACAGGGAGGTTAGCTCAAACAAAGGGAGCAAATAGATTGACCCTTCTGAAAAAAGATGATAGGACTCATGTACCTTTGAGACTTTCCAGACAGTGAGAGCTATGTTGACATGATATCGCTCCCTCTGCCCCCACCTCAAAGCTCCTCTTCAGACAGCAGGTTGTTGTCTTTGAGATGTTACAGTATCCATTCACAGATGAGATCTCTGAGCAGATGTGCCCAGGAATATATGGTTGTAGAAATTATTGACCTCATAGTGAGGTGTTGCTAAGATTTGAGAATTTTAGAGACTTGGATATACAATCTATTATAAAGGATCCTTGGTTGTGTAGTGGTTATGTGTTGGGCCGCAATCCACATGTTCAGCAGTTTGAAACCACCAACAACTCTGAAGGAGAAAGACTGGGCTTTCTACTATCGTAAGTAGTTAGTCTTGGGGTTGCTAGGAGTCAACATTGACTGGGTGACAGCGAGTGTGGTTTGGGTTTTGGATCCTATTATAATGAACATGGAAAAATACCAGAAGGAACCACTCCAGGCTGAGGACATCCTACGTAACTAGGATGTGTAGAATTGCCGAAGGATACTCATTTGAGAGTTCAAGTGAGAAGACTTTGACCCTGAATTGGCTTTGTCACATGTCCTTGCCATGAAGAAACAGAAAGCAGGTAGTGAGAAGGAAAGGCCATTGATGGCATCAACCTGTTAGTGCCAGGAAGTGAAATGGGAAGTTGTTTCAAAATCACTTAACCAGGGCTAGAGCAGACTCAAGTTGTGACCGAACTGATTGTAGCTTATGAGCCAAGAGTGAGTTCAGAATCAATCACTTGTCGGGCGTTGGGGGAAACACTGTGAATGGCAGAAACACTCAGCTTTCATGAAATGAGGAGAGTAAATAGCAGCTCAGGTTTGCTGTGAATATTGTCCATAATGCTGTGTGGACAACACAGGTTGTGTTTTATGCTTGTTTCAAGATTTCAAATTGAGCAAAGATAAATCCACATCCTTTTTTTTTTGCACTTAACTGCCCCTGCCTTTATTAATAACCGAATAAATGGGTGGAAATTAAGTATTTAAAGACTAGCTATATAGAGGGAGCTTCACAGGGCTTTCTGTGTGTGTGTGTGTGGGGGGGGGTGTTCTTAGATAATAGATTTCATTGTCAGCTATATTTAATTAATATTTAGTTGCTGTTTGATACTATGCTTTTACATTATGTTTTCTCTAGAAGAGAAAACTAAATTCTAAGAGAGAAGAAGGACCAGGTGAGTGGCATATACTTTCTGAAAGAGACGGCAGTTTCAAGGAGGCTTATAAATCAGCCCTTTGAACCAGTAGCAGAGCTATGACTACCTTGTACACATGTCTTATCTTTCTAAACTTGTGTACTCCTGGGTTTTTCAGGGAAATGGGAGTGTCCCTGGCATCAATGTGACATCTGTGGAAAGGAAGCTGCCTCCTTCTGTGAGATGTGTCCCAGCTCCTTTTGCAAGCAGCATCGTGAAGGAATGCTCTTCATATCCAAACTGGATGGACGTCTGTCTTGTACTGAGCATGACCCCTGTGGACCCAACCCTCTGGAACCTGGGGAGATCCGTGAGTATGTTCCTCCCCCCGTACCGCTGCCTCCAGGCTCACCCTCTCACCCAGCAGAGCAATCATCAGGGATGGCGGCTCAGGGGCTGAAGACGTCGGAAAAGCCACCTGCAGACAACAACCAGACATTGTCTCTCTCCAAAAAGGCTCTGGCAGGGTCTGGTCAGAGGACGCCGCAGCCTGAACGACCTCTTGAAAGAACTGACTCTAGGCCTCAGCCTTTAGATCGGATCAAGGACCTTGCTGGACCAGGGACCAAATCCCAATCCTCGGGATCCAGCCAGAAATCATTGGACAGGTCTCCTGCAAGACCCCAGCTCTCTGGCAAACCCTCTCCAGTGACCAGCCCAAGCTCCTCACCTTCAGTCAAGTCTCAACCACTGGAAAGACCTCTGGGTGCTCCAAGGCTGGATAAATCCATAGGTGCTGCCAGCCCCAGGCCTCAGCCATTGGAAAAAGCCCCAGTCCCCACTGGCCTGAGACTTCCGCCAGCAGACAGACTGCTAATCACCAGTGGTCCCAAGCCCCAGACTTCAGATAGGCCCCCTGACAAATCCCATGCCTCTTTGTCCCAGAGACTCCCACCTCCTGAGAAAGTACTATCAGCGGTGGTCCAGACCCTTGTTGCAAAAGAAAAAGCACTGAGGCCTGTGGACCAGAATACCCAGTCAAAAAGCAGAGCTGCTCTGGTTATGGATCTCATAGACCTGGCTCCTCGCCAGAAGGACCGGGCACCTTCTCCTCATGAGGGCACTCCACAAGTCGATGAGAAGATACCCGTGTTGGAGTCAAGTTCTTGGCCTGCCAGCAAAGGCCTGGGGCAGATGCCTCGAGCTGTAGAGAGAATTAGCATGTCAGACCCTGTCCTCCCGCCACCTGGGAAAGCAGCAGCCCCTTCAAAGCATCCCTGGCAAGCTGTTAAATCACTCACCCAAGCCAGACTTCTTCCTCAGTCCCCTGCCAAGGCTTTTTTATACGAGCCAACCACTCAAGCCTCCGGAAGAGCACCTACAGAGGCTGAGCAGACCCCAGGACTTGCCAGCCAAGCCTCAGGCCTGCTGAAGCAGATGGCTGGAGGCCCTCAACTCCCTGGATTTGCTGCCAAAGGGACAGCGCTGAGTGGGCAATCCTTCCGGCCTCTTGGGAATGCCCCAGCCTCTCTGCCCTCTGAGGAGAAGTTAGCCACCACAGAGCCGAGTCCCTGGCTCCTGGGAAAGGCCCCCCTGGGACCCGGGCTGTGGCCCATGGTGGCTGGACAGGCACTGACACCGTCGCGCTGGTCCTCTGGGAGCACACAGACGTTGGCACAGACTTGCTGGTCCATTGGAAGAGGGCAAGACCCTAAACCAGAGCAAAATACTGTTCCAGCTCTTAACCAAGCCCCTTCCAATCACAAGTTTGCGGAGTCAGAGCAGAAATAATGCTAGTAAATGTTATGGCCAGACAAACTGCCCCAGGGTACCATTTGGGGAGGGGAATATTTCCTTTCTTTCCCCCCTTACAAAAACAGACCCCCTAAACCTTTCCACTGTTATTCTTATATCCCAACACTCAGAAACTCTTGTGACATTAGCCAGTGGGAGCTTATGGTTATGTAAACCATGTATGGAAATCCAAGTGGGCCCCAACCAAGGGGACAGACAGACTTGGGTCTCTTTCCCACGACTTTTACACATGGTAAACTTGAAATAAAAGTCCCCTCTGGAGTCAAGCATGGAATTCAATTCCGCTGGTCAAGTCGGAAGGTAGAGGTGCTCACAAAGCTATTTCCCTGGCCCTGCAGTAGAACCCTATTGAGGGCACCCGATGAACCTTGGGAAGAACTGATGTTCATTAAAATCAGTGGCTCGTGGGTGCTAGGCCAGTCCTGCTCCATGACCCAGAGATAAATAAGGCCTAACAAGTCTGCCTGCATTCTCAGGCTGCCAAGAACCTTTGATCAGGAGCTTCCCAGCTCATTCTGAACTGTTCTTTGTGGTTAAGTGTCTCCTGATTGAGGTATGCGTGAGGGTGTGACCATACAATCACACTCATGGAGGTGATCTCTGCAGGCTTGAGGGTGCTGCATCAAGGCCAAGTGGGGTTGCTACAGGGCGGCAGCTGCCAATTACGTCAGCTGTGCAGTCTTGAACACCTGTCTTTGGCAGAGCATCTGGCTAAGGGGAGCTGGGCTTTATGAGCAGGTAGCTTTCCAGTGATGGGGCAAAGCAATTGGCAAGCCTACCTTTCTTTTCTACCAATTCTTCTTTTACATGAACCCACCCACCCCTGTGCCCCAAACACCCAGGTGCTTCAGATTTGAGTCTTGGACAGTGAACATAGGGAACCTGTAAGCTAGACATTCCAGCTTCAGGGAGCTGGCCAGATCCTGATTGGAAAGTGTTTGACCTTACCCAATCCTTTACCTTCCTGAGTGGAGGGGCTCCTAGTGTTTATCATCCCTCCTGGTGATTTGCTGTGCTCTTATCATGAGCACCTGTCTGCTGACTCGGCTCAAAGCCAAGCCAGAACGCTTCCTAGGAGACTGGTTTCTATGGTGTTCAGAGCAGTGTCCAGTCTTAAGAGAAGGTTTTCATAACTGCTGATGATCTGTTACTGGGGCCCTGAGCTGGGAAATCTGTTGGTGCTATCCTGCCCTGCCATTCACCCAGCTAACCAACTGCCAACAGGAAGTGCTGTTTGGCCAGTTCCCTCCCACCTCTCGCCCCTCCTTTGCCCCTAGACCAAACACGTTTACCTCTGCTTTGCCAACTTAGCCAGCAGCTTTAGCCAACAGGACATTGCCCGGCCCTGACATTTCCTGGCCATTCTGTCCGTTCTGGCTGTTATACCCTCAACAGGATTCCGTATTTTCCCCCCAGTTTACCCCTCCGCCTAAATTCCTATAGTGATTACTCTCATCCATCACTCTCAAGGAGGGAATCATCATTTTAGAAGCATTTGCGCTTTATATAATAAAGATTTTTAAAACAATCTGCTTTTATCTCCCAAAGTCTGTCTCTGAGGATGAGACACTTGGACTCAGGCAGAAGGATGAGGCAGGGTTGAGCTGACCCGAGTTGAGGAGCCTGTCCCTGCATCTCACTTAGACCTTGGACTTGCCTCTCTGAATTCCGCTTGCCTAGTTCTCCCTGTTCATTATCTCTTCCAACACCGTCAGAGCAGGAACGCTCTCTGTGCAAAAGGAAGACAAAGCATAAAGCATCTTATTTTCTTTTAAAAAAATTTTAAACCATGAGAAAGATATTTTTAAAGAAATCCACCAGAACATTAAAGTTCATTATATTAAGTATTTATCATGTGTGAGAATAATAAGTATAGAACTTCAGCTAGTGGGTCCCGTTCCCTATCTTAATCTCTTAGGTTGTATGAGTAGGGTTTGCCTGGTGCCAGTCCTGTGCCCTTTTCTCTCCTGCCATCTGTAGTTGTGATCAGAACAAGATAATCTGCTCTGCACTGTCAGAATCGCCTTCCACTAGGTTGTGTATTCAATTGCCGTAGCTCTTTGTTTCATGAAATAAACTGTGAATTTTGGGTGGGGGGAGGGTGCAGGCTTTGTAAACCTTTTCACAGAGAAGCTTGATTCTGAAGTAGCTTCTCTGACATCAGCTTTGATTGATACTTGACAGCCAGCCGCTCTGGAAATGTCTCGCAGGACAGGGAATGATGGGGAAGAGGAGCAAGGACTGGCCACTTTGGTGGTTTTTCTTGTGTGCATTCTCCACCATTCGCTACAGGCTTCACTCCAGACCTACTGGGGAAACAATGGCCGATCCCAGCCTGGCATTGGGGTCATTCCCTTATCTAAATGGATGGATGGATGGATGGATGGATGGATAACCAGGCTGTCTCTTTTGAGGGCCAATGAAAAGAGTTTGTTGAATGGAAATTAATGAATTGAGCTACCAATTAGATCAGGACAAATGTGGGGAAATTGAACTCCATGAAGTGGGTGGCAGTGGACTTGCCAGCCCTCGTGGGTCCCCTGGAAACCTGTCATGCATCCTATCCTCCAGGGAGGTGTGGGCTAGCAATCAAAGGAAATCCTTCCCTTGGCAATTTCTGACCTCTGTGCAGGATAGTCTTGGGTGTCCGGCCAAATGCTTGGAAATCATGGGATCTCAAGAGAGAGTGCCTCCAAGCTGGCTCCTCAGGGAGCGTTTTCAAAGTGGGATTCAAGATGGACATGCGCCAGAGGCATCCAGAGTTCCTCTCTGGCCGTCGGGTCAGGACAAAATACAGAAACTGTTGAAATTTGTGTTCAGAGTCTCATTGGCTTCTCCAACTGGAATAAACCCATTCAAGTAGTGAGCTAGCTGTCATTGTTACATCTGCATTCACATTTTTAAATGTTTACTTTCCCCTGAAGTTACTGCGTATCAGATGATTCCAATCACTGTCTATAGATCTCTTTCTGAATGATGACACCCACATCTTCAGCATTGATGAAAGTCACTATTTTACCCTTCATACCCTCCACCCCACATTGGTTCTGGGCATGGAGTGCCTTGGATCCTTCCCCAGGCTCAGCACATCTGTCGCTGGAGCTGGACTCCCAGCTGTATGTTTTAAGGTTGCCTTGGAGAACAGAGGGTAAGGAGAGTGGAAACACGACACCTGCATGGGTTCTTCTCGGCCTCTACAAAGCAGGTTTTCGTGGGATGCTGTCATCCTTGGGAATTTGTCAGAGGTGGCCCACTGTCCTAACCTGAACTCATGTCCGGAGAGGAGCCTCTTTTAAGCCCCCTTTCCTACTGCGTAGCAGACGAGCTGCTCCGTGTGTTACATTCCAGGTCACTTAGGGCGAGGTAGCTGCAGCAGCAGATTTCCTGGCTGTGGCCAGTGATCCCTCAGCTGAGCTTCCGAGGGCCAGTGCAGCAGGGCCAGAGGTGGCTGTAGTATAAATTGATGTAATCGAAAATTGCTTTGTATACACACACATACATACACACAACGCAATGGTGCTAATTTTCTGGTATAAATAAGCACTGCCAAGGGATGAGAGACTAGCAACTTGAGAAACTTGGGTTCACATTGAGTAAGCAGCTGTGTACAGATTTCTTTGAAGCCATCTTGCAGGTAGAAGGCAGAGCCTCGGTGAAGCCCCAGTAGAGGAATGACCCACCAGACTCCAGTGGTGGGGAAGAGCCTGGCTACCCTGTCCACCACCTCTGTCTACACTGCCTCGACAGGCTGGTCGAGAGCTCTGGAGGAGGGGGCATCTCCTTCAGTTACCTTCGGCCCTCTCTACTCATGGGAACACCTCTGCTGCTTATGAAGAATAAGGGAAATGTTTCTTAAGGAAGTGGAAAGAGTTTTTATTTTAATTAAAAATCCACAACCTAATAAGAAATGTTTCCCACCAACATAAGCCAAAAAAACCCATGTGAAATTCTGTGGGCCCTTTGCTAGCGCTTCTTTCCCGGTGACTGAAAACATCAGGCTGTTCAGGGGCTTTGGCAGGAACACCTAGAAGTCAGCAGAGCTTTGACAGGTGAGCCCAGAGAAGTAGAAGAGACTGGGCTCTGGTGCTGTACATGTCCAGGCTAGGGCAAAGTGGAGGCTCGCCAGGTTCACAGAGTGCTGCCTGTGTGCTGGGCACAGGCGAGTACCACCCACAGGAGTGCGTGGAAGAGCAGCTTCCTAGGTCTTGGCAAAGAAACAAGCTGACAATAGAGATTTGTCTATATTTTTAAGAAAGGGGTGGGTGGAGGTGGGGGGGGAGATAGCCAAGATCCATCGCTGTTTATTTGCCCCCTCCACCATAGATTGTCAGCTGTAAGTGAAACTCCTAGTGAAAAAGAGGGGAGCCCTGTACTAGGAATCCCCATAAACATGTACTGTAATTCTTTGTATATAGAAAAAAAATTACTGTAAAGTAAAGTTTAACTTTACTCTTATGGCCCTTGCCCTGTGTTTTGTTTTCTTGTCTGTGGGGAAATGTAGTCTTACAGGAGGGTGGATTGTTTGGCTTGAGAGCAGAAGCCGGCCACCCCCCTACCCAATCCCTCAGCGAGTTCTTAAACTGAGCCCTGTCGACACACACACACACCCCGGGGAGTGGTTTAGGTGTCTTCCCAGTAACAACTAACTGTCCCATTGGCAGTGTCAGTTGCAATCCCTCCACAGGAAGGCTCCATCCCCCATAAAGGAAGCGTATTTTGAGGAATTGGTTTTATAAAAGGAAGTGGAACCAAAGCCCTTTCTGCACAAAGAGTGTCATTATCTTGGTTGAGGTTTTTCATTCTTCAGAGGACCCAGCCCAGGCCCAATTGCAGGAAAGCAGATGCCAGGGGTGAACAAGACTGTAAGACCCTGCTGGGGAACTACACCTAGGACAAAAACGGGCTGTTGAACACTTGTTTACAGTAACAACTGATCCTTCACAAAATGCTGCGACCTCCCAACCCAAAAATAGGCTCTGGGAACTGGGAGTTAGAACCCTTTTCTAATCCAGCCCCGAACTTCATTCTCCAAGATAACCTCACTGAGAGTGGGGAAATGCCCATTTTATATTTAAGTCTTAACAATCCTGAGTCAAATGTTAGTTGGTTATCCTTAAAACAAAAAACTCAGCCTTAGGGTTAAACTCTTCCCCCACCCCCTTTCAACTTAGTAACTGAATTGGATCAGAAATTGGATTCTTAATGGCCTCTCCACCATTAAGCCACATTGCAGGGTGTCTGACTCGGGTCTAGATGCAGTAGAGCCACCGGACCAACCTGTTAAACCCTTTGACTCTGGATGCCATGTAAGTGCATGCCTGGCTCTTCTGGGCACTCACAAGGAATGTTTCATTTATAAGGCCTTGCCCTATCTTGGCCCCATTAGAGAACAGAAGAGGGTCCTTTGTTTTCCCAGTATCTTAGCAACTTGGGTTACAAAGGAAAGGAAGATAGGAAGAGAGCCTTAACGCAGAAAATGACTCCAGGCAGATGTCCCCAGAAAGGACTAGGTGTCTTGTTATTCACATAGCAGGGAGAGGGGCTAAGTGATTCACAGTGCATTGATTTTATTTACAAGTCAGAAGCCACTTCAGTAATCCGCAGACACGTGCTGTCCGGGGCTGATGCCTGGGGTCCATCATGTCGGCCCTCTTCCTGCCTCATTTCCATCAGTCAGCCCAATGCTGCCTCCATTCCAGGGGCCAGCACAGGCAGGTGCCACCTCTGCTGCCATGGGAACCTGGGGTAGCTCAGACTTGACCACCCAAGCCCAGATGAGCTGGGCCCAGTCCCTCAGGAATTGATTTAATTCCCCAGGCCAGGTGGGTGGTGACTCAGTGGTGACAACAGCTGTAGAAGTAGGGGTTTGCCTTCTGGCCCAGGTCCACACCCTTGTCCTCTGTCAAAAAGAGAGATGGCAACTGAATATTCAACTGAGGGACTAGGTACCCAGCCTTAGGAACTCTCCACAGAGGCTACGGAAACACACCTGTCATCACCTGGAAGGCAGCCACACTGACGTAATCCTCGGCCACTTTCTGGAAGAGCTCGTCTGGCAGGAAAAGGGATGGCCAGTGAGGGCCTGATAGCAGCAGCCCTGGAATCTTGTCACCCAGCCCTTCAAGGTCCTGTTCCTCGGGTGCCCCTGCCTACTCTTGCTGTGAGGCCTCAGGACAACACTCACCCACACTCTGGCCAGTCTTGCTAGATGTTTCAAAGAGCTGAGCTTTGATATCTGCAAAGAGAAGTGACTAAACCCTCACACTTGAAAATACAGGTGCTGCTCAAAAGGCGGCTAGACCCCACAGGTTCAGGGAACTCAGAGCGCCTCAGGAACCTTGCTCAAGCAGTCCCTATTTTCCGTGACCCAACCATGCTGACATTTCCCCATTCCCACCCCATTGGGATCGAGGAGCAATATACTGTCTGCATAGTCCTGAACATCATGGAAGTCCACACGGCGCCGGCGCCGATCCTCCTCCAACAGGTCACTCTTGGTGCCACACAGGTAGATTTGACAGCCCTGGGGCGGAAAGTGAGTCACCTTCAAGGACCACCAATTCCCCTGCCCTTAGTCCCACCGCTAGGTGTGGGCCACCTACCTCTTCTAGGCTTCGGAGTTCCTTCACCCAGAACTTTGCTCTCTCAAAGCTGCTGCTGTCTGTGAGATCTGGGGTGGGGGTGGGGGGGTACCCAGGAGACACAACCAAGGGTCAGGAACTGGTCGCTGTGGCCAGCCTAGCACCCACCCTTGCAGCCTGAGGAACATGCGAGAAAGTCCCTTACCATAGCACACGATGGCAGCCTTGGCACCCCGGTAGTAGATTCTGCTCATGGCCTCGTAACGCTCAGAGCCTGCTGTGTCCTGAAGGGCAGCAGGGACACTCAGCTCTAGCCCGAGTTGCTAGGCTACTTCCCAAACTGCTAACTATGGCCACATCCGCCATACTCCCACTTCCCAGCTACACAAACTAGAGTCTAGGAAACGGCCTCGGAGGCGCTAGGTCAGCCAGTGATGGGCAACACCTAAGCCCTTTCTGGAATAGGTTTCCCCAGGACTTACCCAAATACCCAAAGTCACTGTCCGGTCTCCGACGGACATCACCTTGGCCACGAAGGCCGCCCCGATGGTCTGCAACAAGGGGAAAGATGAGGGCCGCTGGAGCGGAGCTGCCCCTCCCACGCACGCCCGGCCTGCGGGGCGCACTCACGTTCTGATAGGGCCCCACCAGGAAGCGGTCGTGCACGTATCGCTCCACCAGGCTCGTCTTGCCCACGTACTCCTTGCCCAGCATCACCACCTTCACGTCCACGCGCTGCCCGCTCATGCTCCCAGGGCCGCCTCGCCCACGTCAGGGTCCGAAGCGGGGACGGGTGGCAACCCGAGATCTCGGCTCGACCCAGGCCTCTGCCCCCGGACCGCAGGCGCCAACCTTGCACCTCGACGGCCAGTCCCGGCTCTTCGGCCCCAGGTATTGAACCTCCCGAGGGCCAGGTCCCTGGGGGCGCGCGGGGCAGCGCCCTTAGCGGCGCTGCACGAAGACGCCCAGCCCGCTCACCCGTCCGCCCCGCTCAGGTTCCGCCACGGCTGGGATTCCCCACCCCCGAACCCGGTTCCGCGCCGACCCGGCTCCGGCCAGCAGCGCAGCGACTCCCGCGGGAGGGGGAGGGG